CATTTGATTCATTTCGTCCTGTATTTGTAAATCGTTTTTGGTTGGGTATTGCCATATTGATACTAATGATTTTGGTAGTGATTTATATATTTTATAGATTGTAAATATTGGTATGAATTCTGTTTTTGTTGTTACTTGGGTTCGATCTTCCTTTTTAAACCTTTCATTTTTCAATTCTTTTAATAGTTTCTCTATTTCTTCTTGATTTCTTTGTTTTATCGTTTCTTTGTTTAGTAGTTCTTTTCGATAGTAATCATTTCTTGCTTTAAAGTATTCTTTTGAGTTTGGTTTCAGAATTTTTGGATGGTGTTGGGTTTCCATAAATTCTCTGGTTTTCTTCTCTGATGGTTTTGTTAGTGGTCTTTTTTTTTCGATTTTTATTTCAACATTTTCTTGTGCCTAATTAAATATTGTAAGTTGTATCGGTTTTGCTTTTTCTAGAAATTCCATTATAAGCTTCTTTTTATCTATTTTATTATTATATTTTTCTTCTCCTAATACTTCTTTCATAACTCTCTCCTGTATCTCTGTTGGTTCGAATTTATATTCTTTTGGTTTATTCATCTTGGTGTTAAGATTATGTTCCATGAATCTTGTCTTCTAGTTAAGGTGTTTCTTGATCCTCTTATAATTATTCTTTTTACTACTTCTGCAGTTCTTAGTTGGTTAGAGGTAGTAGTTATTTGTTGGTTAACTCCTTTTAGATTTGTTAATAATTGTTCTTTAGTGTATCTTTCTTCGGCTGGTTCTATTTGTTGATAAATTTGGAATTGTAATCTTGCTAGAATTGCTTTTTGGTTCTGATCCACATTTCTATTGTTTCTTATTTCTGTTGTTCAAAGATATTCGTATCCTAAGCTTTCTCGTATTTCTTCTGTTCTTAATAGTGGTTCCTGTACTTAGATTCTTACTTCTAGAAATGATAATTGGTGTTTTACTTTTTCTATAAAGGTTGTAAATTCAGATATTTCTTGTTTTATATTTTGTAATTCTTCAAGTT